GAGAGAGAGAGAGAGAGAGAGAGAGAAAGAGAGAGAGAGAGAGAGAGAGAGAGAGAGAGAAAGAAAAGTAGGTAAGGTGAAGAGGCAAAGATCGATATACGATCCGCGATATAGCCGCACGCGGCGAGTACGGCAAGAGCATATGTCACGCGGTGGGATTGATCTTACCGGTGATGCCTAGGAGAATCCAGCACACGAGGCACAAGACGTAGTAGTTCACGTAAGAGGATCTCCTCATGATGACGAAGACAGTGACGACGACGAGAACGACGACGCGATCCCCTTCGACGGGTCCACTGACATCTCCGAGAACGACCAGCACACCAGTGCACTGGCGTCCGGCGAACCTCCTCGCACCTAGTCCTCTGTTATCACGCTGCTCATCCTCCTTGGCTCTCGGCGCTACCAGGCCTCGTGCATAGCAGCACCCCTCTCACCGGTGTACGTTTCCTGGTCGGATCGCGCACGTTTCTTCGTCGGATCTCACCACCGATCGGCGTGCTTTTCCTTTTCTTTCACTGATCACATTATCTCCCGATGAACTGTCGGATCGTTTCACCGTTCCGATCTATGCTCGATCGTTTCTCACGAGGTGTCCGCCGCGGCCCTTGCCCCCGATGCGATGCGTGCCCAAAGTGGCCGACACGCTCTCTCCCCGTCGATCGAACGATTAAAAAACGCTGCTACTCGCGAGCTGTCACCAGGGGCTTACTTCGTCGCGTGGTTTTGCCGTTTTTCCGACGTTCCTTCGACACGGCTAACTACGACCGAGTTTTGCGTACGGCTCGTCTGCGGTTCGTCGTCCCGGGCGAAGCTCTGAAACCGCCGGGCCTCCAGTGGCACTGCCCGCGCCCGCCCGGGGATTCCGCGCAGGCGTGCTCTTTCTCCTCTACTCTGCCGATCAGTCAGCCTCCTCCTTCCTCCAGGCCTCCAACGCTCGTTCTGTCCTCCTTCGTTCTTATCCCTTTCTCCTGCTCGGTCTTCTTCCACGATTACTACTACTACCGCTACTACAGCTACTACCACCACGGCAAATGTTGTCGTTGTCGTCGTCGGCGTCGTTGTCGTCGTCACCACTACCCTCGACGAGGCTGCTGCTGCTGCTTCTCCTGCTGCTGCTGCTGCTACTGCTGCTTCTACTGCTGCTGCTGCTGCTGCTGCTGCTGCTGCTGCTGCTGGCGATGCTCACGGTATTACTACCACCGAGGACGGTCGTGGTTGCTGCTGCTACTGCCGACGTTGGCTGCCTTAGCGTCTTGTACGCTTCTTGCTCTTTCAATCCGCGACGTCTTTCGTCCATCCCCTGAACAAATTTTACGCTTCTTACGACGTTAACCTTCGGTGTACCCGGCTCGTATCGGGGTTCGACAACGTTTCGGCAGGGCTCGACTTGAAAATGGCAAACCTGGCCGGCCCTCGAGTTGGTCTTCTTCTTTTCCTCGAGTCCAGGATTTGTAAATTTGCGGTCCCGTCAATCGACCAGGAGTGGTTTTAATTAGCCGGCAGGGTTGTGCGGAGGGCACCGCGTTTAAACGAATTCGCCGGGATTGCAATCGACGGCCCGGCTACGCTCGGCCCGGCCGAGACCCGGTCCGGCCCGGCCCGGCCTGGACCGGTCCGGCTTCCTTTCCCGGAGACTTTTAATCAGCTTTCGCTTTGGCTCTTGGTCTCCTTCGGTATTTACGATTCTTAATTCAGCCGACTGATTACTGTTTCCCCACGCTTTTAATACCAGCTGCTTCCCGTCGCATTCGCCCGTTGCTCCCTGGCTTCCATTCGCCGCTAACCCAGAACTCCGCAATTTCGTCCGTTTATTCGAGGACGCGGCTTCGTTCTCCCCGTTTCCGTATCATCTTAAGTTTGCATTAGGCAGCGGCGGAATTGCGGTCTGATAGCAGAACCGGTTGGAATTCCATTTTTCTGAAAATATCGGGCGCTTCCGCGAACAGCAGAAAAGGAAACTCAACGACAGAGGGAAAGAGCGAGAGAGACAGAGTAAGAAAGTAAAAGCGAGAGAGAGAGAGAGAGAGAGAGAGAGAGAGAGAGACGGGAAGAGAGCAGGAGTCAAGATGAAGGGGGAACTAAGCGCACTCGTTTTGTTTTTACCATTCGCTGATTATCCGTCGTGCCGGACGGCCTTCGCTTCAAGGAGTGTAATGAATCCTCCTTAGGATTGTTTCGACCTATTTTTCGCCGTGCCGTGCCGTGCCGCCGCGCGTCCTTTTCTTTCATCCCCTTTCGTCGTCCCTGTGATTACCGTTGCTCACGCCTCTGTTATTTTTTCTGGCCGGTGTTTCGGGTCGCTTACGATTATTGCATTTTTCCCCCGTATCGTGCCGATCGCGTGATTCACGGCCGTAGATACCGGCGAAGTGGCCGCGACGTTAATCTTATTCAACAAGAGCGGCGAATAACCCCACGGAATTAGATGGCTCGCCGACGGGATTAATTGATCTTCGTTCGATTAGAATTCGGGGGTACATACGTTTATGTCGGTCGTGATTGATCGCCGCTCGTTTCACGGAACGAACAGCTTTTCGAATTAATTCGCTTCTAATAAAAGTCAGTCCTCGTTCGCCCGACCATTCGTTCGTCTACGATCGAGCCCCCGGCTGCAGTCTACCGTCTTTGTTCTCTATTTATAAGTAACCGTCCGCTCTCCTTGTTCGCTGTTTTCATCGGCAGCCTCCTCTATCCGGGCAGCAAACAAAACGAGAGTGCCCGGTCGCGCGAGCCGAACGCGACGACGCGGCCCCAGCCCCAGACGGTTTATTTAATCCCTCGGTTTAATTATGACAAAATATTATTGGAATTCTGTGTTTCGAGCGCTTCCCTTTGCCCGGCTTCTCCGGCGTAAGCTCGGATTTTCTTTTTTTGTCGCGAACAAATTGTGTGTCCTTTACGGCGTTAACCTTATTCTCAGGAGACCGAACTGCTACGGGCTCATATTTCCTCGTAAAAGAAGTGCTTTCCTTTCTTTCCTCTTCTGCTTCGTTTTTTCACTCCCGCCTCTCCCGCCCCTTCTCTCGCTCTCTCTCGCACGCGCGCGCGCTCTCTCTCCTACCTCTGCCCTTTGCTCGACGAAACGTATTTTAAAGCGTCTTCTGTGCGGCAACGCTGACGCGAGTTCTCGCGGGAATGAAATATGCAACGTTGTATTACATTCCACCGGTTACGCCGCAAAGCGTGGGAACGCGTTAATTACTCGTCGCCGGCAATTTTATTCCAAACATCTTCATCAACGCACAGAAAATAATACGATATCCCCCCCTCATCGTTTCCTTGGTTCTTTTCGTTCCCGGGGGAAAATTCGCCTTCCACGACTCGGCCCGACTCGGCCCGCCCGTCCTTTTGTCCCCGGGATAATTCCATATAGCGCGCACGCGAGCGCGACCGTCGGCCCGTCTGAATCTCGACTAGCCCGAAAATTTTCTTAGGCGAAAGATAAACATCCGTTTCGCCCTTCTATGGAGTCGCCGAAGGTCCGAGAGGGGCGATGTTAATCCGACTGACAAGAGCACGGGTCCCCATTAGATCCCGGGGCACGAGAAGGAACAAGGGAAAAAAACGGGGGAGAGAAAAAAGGGGGAAAAAAGCGGAGCCGGCCAACCTCGTTCCTTTAAACTTTCTTTTTCACTTTCATTGTCGTCGCCCGGACAGCCCTTTATTTTTTTATCCTCCTCCTCGCTTCCGCCGTTGTTCGTCGCACCCTTTCGAGCAATCCACAATCTTTTGTAGCTCGGCGAAATTTTACACCTCTTTCATCCCCCGTCGGCGCAGTTGTAATTATTCGTGAGAAACGCTCGGAATTTTCTTTACACCGCGCCGTTATCACCGAGCCCGCGGATTAACTCTACCCTTTCAGCGGTGTAACGATTTTTATCACGACCACTGCCCATTCCGCATCCACCATCCTCCCCGCTGACTTTCGTTTCGCTCGCGTGAAACCCGATCCTTCGCGGGGAACGTTTCCACCGGCTGAAATTACCGGAGCGTGTTCCACGGGGAGAGAAAAAGGGCGGCGCGGGAGCGGCGGTGGGGAGGGCGGGGGCGTACACGTGTAAACGCTGCAACGGATCGTTTGCTTTAAATTATCGGCTATTAACGGGGCCGAGTGTTTGCGTACTTTTCGGCGGGCCGATGCAGTTTTTCACGAGCATCCGCGTCGCGTTACCGCGGCCGCAAGATTAGGATAATGCACGGAGCGTCGGAGCGCGACGCGACTCCGCCGCCCGAAACCCGAAACGAACGAACCTTGGGTTTGTTTGACGCCGACGACTGCAAACATTTCGGCAAAAACGGATCAATCAACATTTACCTTCGAATCGTTCGTCGGCCTCGGAGGCCAGTCACCCCCCGGCTCCCCCACCCGCGCCCGCACCGAACCCCGTCCTTTGGCCCGACGAAGCCCGGAGACATTAAGTTTCCAGCTACGTCGGTGACTGTTCGATTAGAATTCGTAATTTTGAATAATCGACGACAGAGGAGACGGTCTCTCTTCTGTTCGCCAGGAAATTTCGAGCGAGTGTCCCGAATATGTAAGCTCTTTCGCCCCGTTTCCTTCGACGCGGCCCGTCGAGATTAACCTTCATCGTCGGAAGTAAGTTTTCGAATCTCGGTTAAGTTTCCGGCTGCGAGGAATTTGCATGGTGCGGTAGACTGGCATTTCGTAAATTGCAGAACTTTTCTTCTCGCCGATCCGCCGCGATCTACCTTTCGCACCCTTTTCTGCCCTTATCCTTTCTCTTTATCGATCGGCCCGACCCCTGCGGACTCTCCCGCTGTCCTTTTCATTTCCCGTATTTCCACGGGGTTTCCTTTATTTTTCACCGTTCGTCCCTCTGTCGTTTCTTCCCGCCCTCTTCGTTCGCAGGTTTTTCACCGATTCTTCTGGCTTATTCACCGGAATCCTTTTTTCCCCCCCTTTTTTCGTCTGCCTTAATTCCATGGCTGGTCTCGAAGGAAAATATCGCCGCCGCGCCGCGCCGCGCCGTGGAGAACCCGTATTTCACTGGCGCAAGTCGAATGAGAAGTTTAAACATCTTTTTTTTTTGTCGGTTTTTCGAACGCGGAGTAATGTATTAATGTTTTTCTGTGCGGAGCGCAGCGAACATCGAACGTGTAGTAAGCGTAATCGATATCGTCCCTTCTATGTAATCCGTAAAGCAAAATCTAACGAGAGAGAGAGAGAGAGAGAGAGAGAGAGAGAGAGAGAGAGAGAGAGAGAGAGAGAGA